TACATCTGCTGCAAGTTTGGTCTGAAATCTAGGTGGAGAACGGAACTGCTGTTAAGAAGGAAGAGATGCCAGCAAAAAGTCAGCGAAAACATAAATAGAAACAATTGTTTTTCACATTTGGCAATGCTTTCAATAACTGAAATTAATTCCAGAACACAAAAATAGAACCACACACACATGCAAATCACTTTCCAGGGGAGAGGTCCTTTTGCAGTACCATTTCACGGGTAATAGCCCCTGGTTCCTGGATGTATTGCCCCCCAATGTTAACCATCTAAATAGAAAAAAACTTTTGGCTTTTGTGTTTTTTTTTTTTGGTGATTAGAAATACTTAAAAAAACCCAAACAAACCCCAAACCACTCTTAGCAATCATTTTGCTAAGATTCTTACAAAATTAATTTCTAGTTTCAGTATTTTTAATGTCTCCCAGTGCACAAAATGGCTTAGTCAGTAAAATGCTATTCGCTGGCCTAAGCTGGCCAGGAAATGAGCTGACTGGATCTTCTCAGTAGTATCCTTCCGTGAAATTTCAGCTCTCAAAATGCAACCAACACCCTCACGTCACATGTTCCTGCATCCAGCAGATGTCCCTATTGACACCCCCTGCCCAACAGCTCCTGAGAGCCTCAGGGCCATTCTCCTTTCCCCTTTTGAAAAATGTCTTCTCCAGCAGTTCCTGTTGTCAAAGGCCTTCAGGACCCATTTCTGGGTGCCTGAGACCAAGTTTGCATGCCCAACACCTGACAGATAGTGGCTTAGAAGGTTTTTCTCCCATTTCTTCTACGACACTATTTCTGATTCCTTTGGCCACATCTGGTCATTTTAAATGCAAACAGAAAAGACTCTCCTAAACTCAACTGGTTTTTGCACAAGGCACCAGCCAGTGTCCTCTCCTGTTAGGATGAAACTTAGCGAAGAGGAGAAAGTCACATGGAGGCTGAAGTTGCAGAAGCATAATTTCTCATTCCCCTCGCTATTTTGAGCAAATTTAGTCCCAAAGACACAGGGACTGGAGCAGAGGAAAAAACCTTCTTTGCACTTCCTCTTCTAATCTTCCCTTTTCTCCATTCATTCTTGTTTTTGGCTACAAATCATCTTCACCTTCCTGTTTATTACTGTCTTCTGGTGCTGCTTCTCTCCTTTTCTTCCCTTCCTGAGTCAGTAATTGACCCTGGTTAATTCACTACACCAAGACAACAGAAAAATCAAAGAAAGTAATCCATATCCAGTCAGTGATAGCATCTGCAGCATGACCTATAAGTGCTGGTGCCAGAGTAACTGGGGATGTGGCCAGCTGCGGTGCAGGTAGGAGTGAGGCTTGGAGTAGGACACAGGAGCTCAGTACGATGGCATTGGTGCTGAAACCCTGTTTTGGGAAGCAGTGGCATCAGCAGAGAAGGGGGAAATACATACACACATCAGCAAATGAACTCGCTCAGGCTGAGACTCTCAGTGGGGTTTTCCCAAATTTGATTTTCACATACACAAAAGGTCACAGCCCTTCTCTCTAAACCCTGATGGGAATCTCTCAATCAGCAACACAGTCAGAATTCTGTTCTGTCCCAGAATTTAAACACACACACTCTCTCAGAAAGCTTGAAGATAATTTTCTTCATTAATCGAATACTTTCTAGACTGTAAACTAGGGTTTAAAGGGTTAAGGGTTAAAAGAGATTTGTTAAGAGTTACTTACGTGGCTGTCTCACATTTGGCTTTGGAAGGGAAGGATCTAATTTTTTAAAAAAAGCAAAAACAAAACCCACAAAACGTTAATCAGAGAGAGTTCCACATACGGCCTACAAACTATGTAAGCAACCTTCAGGATCTGATCTGACAGAAAGACATTAATCGTAATTTTTAAAAACCAGGAATTTCATGAAAACTAGTCTGAATTCTATAATCTTGCTCAGATCAGAAAAATTCTATTCATATATTGATCATTCCTCGGGGGAACATATCTACAGTATAGTTCATGCATCATATATTTTGCTGGCAAGTACACTGCAACCTTTCCCACCCAGATGTCATCAGATCTGGCCCACAGTAACTCTGGTGTTCATGCATCATATATTTTGCTGGCAAGTACGCCGCAACCTTTCCCACCCAGATGCCATCAGATCTGACCCACAGTAACTCTGGCTATCCCTATGTGGAACTCTTAAAGAGCACAGATTGCAAAGGCTGTTTTAAGGTGATTACATTCATCTGACTACTCACTAATCACAAACATGAGATACCAGCATGCTAAATCACCAAAAAAACCCCCAAAACCCAAACGTCAAACACTAGCTATCACGTCTAAAGAAGAGTCAGTAGTATGGCATGATACACACTGCCTTGTCCAAACTGCATGAATATGTGTTGATTCACACATTTTACTAAGTCCTACTTGGTATTCTGTCTTGGAAGTTGGGTGTTTTTTTTTGTTTTGTTTTTTAATTACATATGGGAAATAAAAGATCATAGCTATTCTATCAAAGCTATTATTCTTGGCATGAATATCAAATATCATCATCATTATCAGCACGTAACAGAAAGAGACAAGTAAACATGTTAAAAAATGAAGAATTTTCCTTTCTTTTGCTTAACTGGCTTCTCTTATCTTCCTCCAAGAATGCCACCTCAAGCAGAAGAGACAGAAATTCTGGCTTCAGACCCGAGGACCTGTTTGGTTAGCTGCAGTTTGCTTCTGGATTGCCCAGTAACCTAGGGATCTCATTTAAATTCTGGCATACCTGAGTGTGTTCAGTGCAACAGCTGTAAAAGGATTTGATAAGACACAGTCCTAATACTTGTTTTTGTATCTTTAGCAACTGAAAAAAAGTTTAATTGCTATGTCAACACAGCAGCTCAAAAATACTGAAAATAAATATATTTAAAGTATTTTTAAACCAAGACTATGCTTTTAACTTCTGAAACCCAAATGACAGCCTAAACTACCAGCAATATCCCATAAGATCCTTAGGCTCTGAGACACACATGCCTACAATATCCAAAAAAGCATTTTATTCTTAAACTGCATTATTGTCACTTCTTCTAACATACGAGTATCTTTTCCAGATCACTCTTGGCAGGATGGTAGGAAAGAGGTGGAACAGTAGTAGGAAACAGGTGAGAACATAGAGGGGTTTGCGTGTGCACACACAAATAAGCTGGAAAGTTGTTGAGCGCACATAACAGCGAAAGCATAACTGAATGTAAGATTTGTGAGGAGAGCTGGACTGAAACCAAGGAGCACTGAACAGTACAAACATGGGTAAGGGCACTATCAGATTGTTCAAACACTCCACTAGCATATCCCAAGAGCCAAGAAAATGCCTTCTGAGCTGAGGGGAGAATGAATTTTCCGTGCTCGTTCTGTCATTGGCCTCTCTACAGAGAATATAAAATCTGCTAATTAATGATAGGCTGTGTAGCCCATTATCAATTCTCCCCAGTCACCCAGTTCTTACATGTATTTTAGTGTGGGTTGCTCAGAGCAACACAGAAGCAGTGGGGAACCCTTGAGGTTGAGGAAAAGCATTTAATTTAAAAATATCAGCAGCCAGCCTTTAGAAATTATCATGATTTTCTATACCTCTGTAGGATAGAGGCACTTGTTAGCTGCTCACTTGACCTTCTTCCTATGACCTGTCTCCTTTCACTGTAGAAATAATAACATAAAGTTTCCACACTTAGCAAAAATCTGAACAATGACATTGGTAGATTATTTCAACAAAAGAACACGTATTTCCTAGCATTTAAATGGCCTTCCATATGCCTTCCATTGAAGCGGGGGAGAGCATGTGTGTGAAATGGAGGAATGCAAAGGGAAAGAATGTGGCATGGAATTAGGTTTCAGACACTTCTATTGGGATCTACTGCAATAATATAAGCAACTGAGTTTGTAAATAACTAACAAAATTAGAAGGGAAGGAAGACTTATTCTCATTTAGATATACAGTTGTGACTTCTATTAGTGTCAATGACAGTCACAAGTTCATGGCTGAAGAAAAAAAGACAACACCTTTGCAATGACCAGTTTGTTCTGTCAAACGCATGGCTTCTCCATTTGGCTTGGAGAGCAGATCCAATGGCAGTAACTCACATAACATGGTTTACAACAATGAAAGCTGGCCTGTTCACATGAAAGAAAATGAAGAACACCAACCCTGACATGTAAATTCTCCCATTCAGTAATGTGATATAATTTCACTCTGAATCTCAGGTTCACATATTGGCCAACAATGGCATTTGGCTTTTAGAAAGGGCTTGCTTGATTCACGGCAGAGCAACTGCGTACCAACAAAGCTATGTTGTTAATGTGCCGCTTTGTATTATGTCTGAAAGCTGGATATGCTGGGGAGATTTCCACCAAACATCCCACAATTAGACTAAATACCCACAATGCAACAAAATACTCTATCACACTGCTGTCTTGTAACTAATCTTTATAAATTTAGCTCATCTTTGCACACTAAGACCTTGTGCCTCTGACAAAGACAACATTCTGAGTGGAGCCCAAGACGGGAGCTGCGTACAATGCTCCACACATCAGAAGGGCAAGAGAGCTCAGAGTACGAGTCTGTTTATTGAAAGCTGATCTTCAGTTGCAGGATTTACTCATTCCCAATAGAATAACCACTGCAGAGAAGGAAAAAAAAAAAGAAAAAAAAGAAAAGAGCTTTGCAAAAAGAAAGAGTGCAGAATCAGGCCCAAAGCACAGTTGTAATTGTACCACACCAACAGATCAAATACTTGCCTTTAATTCACAGTGGATTTGATCTGTATTAACTAATTTGTAAAAAACCCCCAAAATTAAACATGAACTGACTTGCAGAGTTAAACAGAAACAGTTGTTGCTTGTGTCCCCTAGCAATGCTGTATGGTACTTTAAATTGTTGGAAGACTAAACCACTGTACAACAGAGGTTAAGGGACTTCTGATCACCATCCTTTTGACACTCCCCAAAAGGCTTTCCAAAGGCCAAACAGCCTTTGAACACAATTGGAAGATTTTGATGTGCACATGAAGCCACTGAAGCTTGTGATTAAATTCACATGCTAAAACAAAAAGAAAAGATAACACACATATATTTACTTCTATGAATGTATCAGAACAGGACTGGTGCTGTTGTCAGAGGGATTCACTAAGAAAAACTTTCAAATTAAATGAAAGCGTGAAAACAGTTATTTCCCATCACTCACAGAGCACAATCTTCAGCTACAGTACAGTCTGATCATGCTGTTCGGCATTGTCTCGGCGCTCTTCGGCATTTCCAACTCCTTCAACCAGTTACTAGCCACACGTGTCTTTTTTCCATAAATCATACATAAACAAACAAGCCCCACCAAAGTGGAGCTAAAATACCCTTGTGCATCTGATCTTTTGCTCTTAATAGTTTAACAGTCTAATGAGTCTCTCCTCAGTGGCCACCCCTTTGCTTTACAAACTTATCACGCTTTAGCATACTCAATACTTCATAATTCCATTGTTGTTATTCCTAAATATATATTTACAAGCACAGTAAAGAAATGATACAGCAGCAAGCAGAGCACTGCCTTTGATCTCTGGGCAACAAGAAGCTGCTGGAAGCACTACCCATATGTTCATACTTCTGAAACCCATATTGTTGTGTACTGTAGTATTCCTTTCTCAATGCCTGGCAAAACCACATGTCCGGAGATCAATAAAGACAGTTAAAAAACAGCAATGAACTGCCACAATAATTGCTGCCAGAGAAATGTCTAAACAAGTAACATCTTACAAACACAGTATCACCACAAGATTATATAATGCCACATACTAGGAGTACTCCCTCATTTCAAGCAGCTGTATGTTACACAATATAATATACATAATTTTATTAAACAGTTCAAGCTCATTTTCATACCTTCTGGTTTTCCTTCATGTGTTACTACAAGGGGCTTGGTGAAGGTTTTCTTGTTGTGCATCATGGCCAAGATCATATCCACATTGAGAGAGGTGCAAGCTTCATCGGGAGGAATGCACTACGAGTGGAAAAAACACTGTGTGAGGTCAGAGTCACCCATCTGCACAGTTGCCTCATTATCAGTTTTCTCTTATATTATTTATCAAAACAAGAGGAGTACCTCCAAACAAGCCCCGTGCAATGTACTGGCAAAGGTAAATCTTAGCTGTGCTTCAGGACACAACCTTTGCCTTCATTAAGGATCCTCCAATCTTTATGAGAGTGTTACTATTGAACTTAAATGGTAGCAACATTTTATACTAGGTTAAATGTTTTTTAAACATCTGGTAGCCAAAACCATAGCCACAAACATGTTTGTTGATCAACACTGACAAATCATCTCTAAAAAAAAAATACATTTTAAGGACATTATGCATAAACCCTAAAGTAAAAATAAATTCCAAATTCTTAGAACACATTTCTTAACAACTAATTTACAGCTGTTTTGACTAGTTATAAAACAAAATTTGGCAATTCTCTTTTGTAACAATTGGATTGCACTATTATCTGATATTATGCATGTCTTTGGAAATTAAAGCTAACATTGTTTGCGCTTTGGATATGGATGTGATATGGATAGCAAAGATAAATCTGAACCACTTGCGCAAGAAAAAGCAATTTCTATTTAACCCACATAACCACCTAATGAAATTTAATCAGAAACCGTAAATTATGCAGTCAAAACGTACAGCATCACAACTCTTATCTATTAAAATCTAGAGCCTAGAGATATCATGTTCATTACATCAATTCCATGGAAAACCATTTATTCACTTCAAAGTTCAGATAAAAAAAAAAAATCTTATTTTCACATAAATCAGAAGTTTAGACTTCGATAAATTACTGACCTTTGGCAGTCCTTGAGTATCTTTGTCTTTATTTGTACACAAAGTCAACTCGCAGTGAAGAAAGAGCAGTGAGATGTTGAACATTGGTTTAAACACAAAGCTAAATCTTTTTTTGTCCTTCTGTGCATGTGGTATTGGAAAGTTCACCTTTTCAATGCTGTAGAATTTAACAGATTCATCTTTAGGACAAATGTTTTCTATAATGGTGTAGTCAGACATTCTATCTGGATTTGAAAACGGGGAAACAAAGCATGTTTGAATAGCAAAACCCAAGGATCTGTCAGCTTTAGTCACAGACACCTGCATTAAAAAGAAAGAGACGGTAAGATCTCAGAAATGACATTTTTAGTTCACATTTCATTAACATTTTCAACAATTTTTAAAGCAGTTTTCCAGTGCCACTTCCAGTCTGAGCTATTTTGAAGGCTAAATGTTAAGGGTAGACTGTCAAACTGAGAGACAGAAAATCTGCGGTTTCAAAACCGGCAGCTGTTTAATAGCATAACCATGCATAAATACAGCAATCCCTTATCTTTCCGAAAGTAGATGAAAAACCCTGTCCAGATCAGACACGTAGTTAATGACTGCAACTGCCACCTGAGATGGCACTGCTTCCCTTAGACACAGAGACTATAAGAGAGTTATATGGCAGTCAATTACTAATTCCTTGTCTTTGTATCTGTTTGAAACTTTAATGAAAAAGAAAAAAAAATAAAAGCAACAGAAACAACAGCAAACCCACCCCCAGCCAAGAGAGGAATGCAGAGGCAGAGAGGAGGTCATGGTCTGACGTGTGGTTTTTTTTGGACTGGGGGACAAGGGAGCCTCCTAAAAAGCTGTAATTTCTTGTGAAATGATCCTTTTAGTTTATTGTAAGTCTGAAATTCATATTCTTTTATGAAAAATAATGAAGACTGCAAACTTCCAGGGCACTGATGTTATTCAGCTGCACTGGAATGCAGACAACAAATACTAAATAATAATTAGGAAAAAAAATTAAATTGAATTTGTAACAAATTAAGCATGTAGTCCTTAATAAACAACAGAAGTTTTGTGCCTAACCATTAGCACTGCCTGATGAAAACAATTCCACAAGAAATAATTTCCTTCTTAGAAGAAATGTGCCTTAAATGTATACTTAATCCATATGTGCTGCACATGTAATTTAAGGAAATGCCTGCCGAATTTACCTGTGGTCTATACAGAAATTTTTGCATGCTGTAGTTGTGCAGTGAATAAAGACATTTCTCGCTTTTTCTCTCCCTTATGTGAGCAGCAATCAAATTAGAGATGAAGGAATGTGCTGAAGCTACTAAGCAGACAGACCATCTTATAAAAAGAAGAGAAATAAAGACTGATGAATGAAAGTCAAGACACAGATACTGACAGGTAAACAAGCTGATGGTGTGAACTAGTTAAAAAAGAAATTATGGCAAAGAGGACAGGCATACTACAGCTTCATGAAACGCTATCATAAATAAAAGGATGAATGATATCTCAAGAAAAGAAGAGAACTACAGGAGGAAGGTAAGACCAAAATATGGTAAGAAAATGACAGTAGAGAACAAAGAAAAAAAAGCCAAAGATTCAAATACAAAAAAAAAAAAAAGCAGGGAAAGAAATGGGAGATATAGAGTTCTTACAGATTATGACCTAAGCAATTTATTGACCAAAAAACCAAAATATATTTGGTAATCATAAAAGCAAAACAGAAACAAAAATTAAAACAAAAAAAATTTCTGTGTCAGCTAAAAATGGAGTCACAAAAGTTCAAAACTGATACAGATTTTCCACTGTGCAAGAAGAAGAAACAGAAAAAAAAGGCTTCTGCCAGGACAGGTGATGAAGAAATCAGAACATCTGTCTGAATAAACAGCTCCAGAGCCAGACAAATCCAGAGGGCTTGGAGCCAGGGGGATTCATCCCAGATCGCTGAAGGAAGCAGCCGGTTTTATCCAAATGAAAAAAAAAAAATGTGTCTTTTATAAACGTATTAACTGAGCATGACATACTTTCTTTTTGCTTCAACTATCTTAAGCACTCTTCACTGGGTAGAGAATGAGGAAGAGACACACCACACTGAAACAATGATTCTATGATTAATGCCTACCATTATTTGAAAAATTTAAAATTCTGTTCACATTACCATCTTTAGAAACACTGACTGTGTTTGTTTGAAATTCCCCAGATGTCATAAGCAACTTACTAACACATGGAAATATTACCACATCCAAAATGCACCTGAAGTCGAGGGTATCTGACTGTTAATTTTGCTGGTCTTATTTATTTAAAGCTGCTAGATCTCTTGAGTGATAGCATTCAAAGGATTGTAACTTGTGTTTCTAAGTGGATTGGAGAGAGATCAGAATCTGTATTAACTTTGTAACCCCAGAACACTAGCATATGTAATGATTGTTTGCATGTCTACATCCAAGCTGTATTACCCAATGAAAGGAACCCTGAAGTCTTCATCAGGAAATGCCAGTTCAGAGCAAAAGCTCAGAGACCACCTTTAAATTCTGCACAGAAAAGCAGACTTGGCAAGAATGACCAATTCACGTTGTAGTTAAATTAATCCATTTTTCAGGAATCCTTTGGTTTTGACCCAAAACATCATCCTACTTCTTACCCAACAGTTTCTGTTCTCTGCAGCCACCAAAGTGCCTACCTGTCTGCCTAAAGCAACTGCACAATGAGACCTTTCAACTGACATGAACAGATTTGGCTAACTTGCACGGCCTTGTTTCCATTAGTTTAAAAGCCTTTTTCAGTTTGTTACCTCTACATATATTGGCCCATTCTCAGCAACAGAGAAGAGTCCTTGGGAGGGAGCAAGGAACAGATCTGTTTTGTACAGCTCCATGTTGAAGGTCACATTGGTGATGTGTGGTTCAGGAGGCCAGAACATGCCTCTGTCATCCTCTGGCTGGTGCAGCGTGCAATTGAACTGAAATGAAAAAACCAATAATATCCTTGGTCAGGAGTCAGGAGTGGTAGCTGGATAAGGACAAATTTGGAATATACAATACAGGCCCACCTACATTCCATCTATTTAGTGCAAATCTTCAACAGGGTCACGAGAAATAGAAGTGAAAAGAAATGTGTTAAAAGACAAATTAATTGCTATACAATTAATGTAATTTATGTAAAGCACCTATTACAATAGACATTTCTCTATTGTCAGGTGCAAACCCAAGAGTAACATACCGCTATTTCAGGCCAGCTTGAGAAAGCAACATCTCCCTCATCAGCATCCCCTGGAAATCCATTATCACCCGACTCCATGTCATCATCATCAAAGCCGCTGCTTTCAGCTGGTGATGACAGCTGAATGACAATCTGCACAAAAGGCATTGCAAACGCATAAGATTAGGTGATAACTGAGCACTCTCTCTTCATGATTATTATTTTCTTCTCTCTTCAGAACAATGCAAAGGCCAGAAGAAGTGCACCAGCTAAGGAGATGGTGAAAGCACATCTTAAACAGATGTGCTTAAACAAAGCCTTGTGCTGGGCATGCCAGATACGTAGGTTATATTTAGAGAACGCTCCTTAGTTTTTTTCTGGAATTCAGAACCAGCAAAGACACCAGTCTGGGTGCTGGTGTCTGAATAAGCAGCCTAGCATTTCCATTCTATTTCTGGTATTTCTATAACTAACACTGAAAAAAGAAATGGCTTTCTAAAGTGATTTTTTGCAACTTACAGTTTTCCTTAATGCACTCATGGAAAAGTCACTGAAAGTATTAGGGTCATTAAAGGATTTTCTCTTCTGTCATTTGCATATTTTTTTTCAGAGCTGTACCTGCAAAAATATTATGTCCCTTTCTTCATTTTCCCCTTGGTTTTCTCTGAATTTCTACTGACTTCCCCCCCCTCTTTCTTCCCTCTTTTGCACACTTCTCCATTTCTTCACCTGAAAATTCCTCATTTTGTTTTCCCACTCTGTTTCTGTATGCCCTACAGCTCCTCAGCTAGTCCCTCCCCCCTTCCAGGACTTCATCTTTGTTTTCTTGGACATAGAGCAACTGCTAAGAAGTGACATATACACTCTTTGAGATTCCACTCCACGGTGTTTATTTTTTAGCAGAAATGCTCCCAAATTCTGAAAGATTCCATACATGATTCAGAGTTTAAGAGTAGCCAAGACTATTAAAAGACATCATGGAGAAAGGAGAGGAGGCAAATATCCACTTTAGTTTGGGCCATAATAGAATATAGGGACAATGATAGTATTTAGCTCCAGACACGTGCTATTCTGAACATGGAGATGTTTCTATCCACAGTCTTGGTTTTGGACTGTTTCTAAAGTTAGGTGCTACACACTTGCCAGTATAGAACAGTTTTAACCAGGCAAGGTCAGATCAGATTGCCTTAGCTGTGTTTGGGTTGGACCACAGGCTTTCCATCATTTGCCAAGGTTACTTCTCTGTACTGGAAAGCTCAGCAAGAGAAACGTGTCATTACTTTCCAACCCAGATTAGCTGGACTGTACTCAAGCTCATAAGATGAGCCAGTCTGGAAGCAGTCGCTTAGAACCTAACTGGGCTCCTTAGCATTATTACTCATATAGAAGTACTCAAGAGTCCCTTCATCACGTACATCAACTGATAGCAAATATGAAACCAAATTGTAAGAGAGGAGCATGCACAGATCATGTCTTTTCTTTGCATCTTGAAAGCCTTTTTCACACACAATTTTGGAAGAAAACATTTCACTTAAAATAATTCAGCATATTAATTAAATGGTACTGCTTTGTGCAATCACAAAACTTAATTCCTATTCATCCTTATAGCTACATAGTAGTGCTTATGTATGGGTACATCAAAGCTGCATAGGGAAAGCTCATGCAACTTCCCTGAGACTGGTACAGATGGTCCCCAAAGTGCAACCATGCAGTTTTTTTAAGAGTATTTAACTCTACCTCCTCCTTTTTCCTTTGGGATACTATCTGACCACAGAAGCACACTGGATGTGCAGCATTCATACCTCCTTGAATACAGGGACTGTAGCTGCAGCTAGGTTTGAGCTAGACAGGAAAAGATCAGGATGCCTACTTTTTGCTAAGGCTAATGCTAACTACAATGGCTTCCTTGTACCACTATGATGTGCAGTGCAGAAGGTGGCTCCTCTTTGTAAAATACTCACAGAATTAAAATAAACAATCTTGTTCAAGATATATGCTGTCCGAGTCCCACATTTGTTCAGCAAAGACTCCAAAATGAAATGGGTACCATTCATCCTGGCTTTGCAAGAGTGATCCAGCAGCGAGAGTTCTGTCCTTGTGTAGCCACTAGCCTGAAACAAAGGCACTTTGTAAGTGGCTGACACACAACTGTGTTAAGCTCTTGCTTAAAGTGCAGCTCAGAATACTGTTCATGACTGCTGATAAGAGGAAGTGAAGTTCATTGTACTGACATCCAGGGAAGGTCACTCTCAAAATGCTGTTACACATGACAGACAGGGAATAAATGTAACATGGAACAAAGAAAACAACAGGTTCATTATTAATCTGGTGATTAATAATGCTGACTCTGTTTGGTCTGAAATGAGCTAAAAATGCTGTCTGTATCAGGCTCTTTTCCGCAACGCAAATGGCCGCAAGCAACCTGTCAGCTGGTAGATGGTAAAGACAGATCTATTCAGGTCTCACATGGCTATCAAAAGCAGCTTCTTTGTACTTTGGAGATTAAAAACTCAGCCAGATGGTTGAGTACAGCAATTTTTTGACAGAACCAACCCTGCAAAGCTTTAATCAGAAATCCCTCTACAAACTACCGGATTGTTGGGAAGAGGAAACATGACCCTGAGTTATGGCAAAGAATATCTACAGTATAGTCTCCTCACCAAATTATTTTTTAGGGGGTTGGGTGGTGATGGCTGTAGATCTTAGAACATTTATTCTTTCAATCAAAATACAAATAAAATGGTGTGCCCAAAAAAGCCTGCCCAAATTTGAGAATAAGAGTTCACACCAACCTGCAGAGAGTCTTTTTCTACAGCTACTGTCATGACTTTGTCATCACACTTTATTGACAGGGCTACATCAGCACTGCCCTGAACCTCTTCAGGTTCTTTGTGTTTTGAGAGGGAATGCTCAAAGTCATGATTTATTAATGCATCCACTGAATCCCTGGACGGGAAGATTCCATCTCCCACTGTGTCATGTCTTCCTCTGTTAATGTGAAAAGGAAAAGTCAGGCCATCACTTAATGCAGGATTCTTTGGAGCAGGCAGTGGGTTAGCACCCAGCAATTCTGTTAGCTCTGGAGGAAGGGAATGGTCTTCTTCATCATTCATCTCTTCTAAAAAGAAAAGAAGGAAAAAAAAGAACATTAGGTTATTAGATATTTTTCTTAAGTGTTCAGAACTAACCATTTTCATACCAAAAAAAAAAAATTATCCAGAAAGGACGTTTCAGAAGCACATCCAAAGCAGCCTCTTTGTACTTTTCAGGTAACTAGCCACAATTCCTCCACTAAGGGCTTAGTTGTTAGAGGCATCTAAATTCAGTCCCTGCTAGAAATCTATCTCACTAAAAGCTGAAAACAAGGAGTGGGCCTATTATATACAAAAGGCAACCACAGAGGTAAAAGAAACATCACATTCAGCAAATACACTATTTTAGTGCTGCTGAAAAAGCCTAAGTGCAAATCACTGGGTGAAATTCTTCCATTACCTGCTCCATCACAAATTCAGTCACTCCACTGTTGTGGAACTACTTATACAACCAGAGTGAAGTTAAACAAGAGTTAACTTTATACTGAGTAAATGAGAACACTATCCATCTCCCAGCTTATACACACTTTTTTGGGCAGACCATTTTATTTGTATCGTGACCAGATTTGTGTATGTTGAAGAATAAAAGCTCAGGACAGAAATCTCAACATCTGGCCCAAGCAGATGATTATCTGTAACCCATGAGAGTGCAACTGATAAAATTAATGGGAACATAAGGTTTATCAAAACAGCTGTACGATATTTTTAGTGGTTGAAATTCAGAATTAGTGAAGAAGCAGATGCAACTCCACTAGCTTCAATGGACCCAGATATCTTTATATCAGCAATGACATTGGCCAAATAATAATTTTTTTTTTTAAATGGTTGTATTTATTCTGTTTGCTCAGACTTCTTTAGCAAGCCAGATTTGTCTGTAAACAATTTAAAAGTTTATTTACTTGTCTCAAGGAAACACTATGCTTATACTTTAAAAAAAAAAAAAAAATCAAAGCTGGATGTATTAACTAACAAGATAAGCAGTTGCTGAAGTCCATTGCAGTAAACATTAAGCATGGTCAGCTATAATGGCTTGTGAGTTAGATAAACTATAACCATTTAATTCCATCAACATTTCAGGCAATAACACAATTTGCCTGGACTGTTCTAATCAAAAAGCCACAGATTTTTTTTTTTTTTTTTTAACTAGCATTCATAGATATTACCAACATTCTTGATGACAACCAGTGAAAGTAGTGCAACCCGCAATAACAAAGCTTCAAAACTGAAAAAGCACCTTTAAAATTGTCGCATTCCTGGAAATACAAGATTGGGGTTTTTTCTATATGCTAAAAGTCCATCTCAAGCTTACCTGTATCTTCAAGTTGCAGATGAAATCTGTTAGCAACAGGGGCTTTTGTGTAGGAAGTAACTGGGCTATAGTTATGCTCATAAGCCCACTTGATCAAACTCTCATGTGATGAGGGTATATCAGGTACTACTGACTTACTCATAGTCATGGATCGTTCTGTTTCCTTTCCAAAACCAATACTGTTTGATGTCTGAAAACAAAGAAAAACTTGGTTAATGGTTTACCATTTAAGGATACTTAAAATGGAACATGTTTTTTACTCTATTAAATAACAGCAAACTAAGAACACCTGGGAAATAAACCAAATTGCCACCTTAGATACAGAACTGCTGCACACATGGAGAAAAGCTCCCTCTTCCTCCCAGTCGCTGCCTGGAGTACAATAAATCAGGATAGTCAGAAACCGTTAATCCCTAAACAAGACAAAGACATATTTACAGCCGTTTGTATAATGCCATATGTTCTTCAAAACTGAGTTGAAATGACTTCTGAGGTGAACTCAGATGACAACTTATTTTTCAAAAGTCTCCTTCATTTCTCTGACGAGGGAATTACTTAAACTACATATAGGAAAACCTTTGTTCAAATGAGCATTACTGAAAAAGGCAAAACATAGCGTGCTCATGAAGTAGAGCTGATACCAGCTAATGCGTTTAAGTCAGCTGGCACTGAGGATAGTCTGTGCCTCTCTGAACGAGCTTCATACTAGAAATGTTGTGTGCCTCCTGCAAAACGCTGAGTATGTTAAACAAGACTGAATTAAATGCTTAATTGAGAGATAAGTGAGAGCATGCACGTTTATGCAAGGCCAAACTACTTAAAAGAAAACTATACTTTCTGCACATAAATAAAATTTAAAATTTAATTAACAACATAAGTTTTACACAAATACATCAATATAGTGAACTCATAAATGCACTTGGCTGACCTCTTAGTTTTATTACTAAATAATCACAAATAATGGCTCCTCAAAGGTGGCCATACAATACAGATGAGTCACCCAGTCAGTTAGCTTTCATTTTACTGTAAACATTTTGCAAAATTGCAAATTTTCTTGTCCAAATGGGCAAGCCAAAGGAATATAACAAGCATCTCCAGCTGTTAGAGGGGCAGTTTGAAAATACTCACTAGTATTACATTTTAACTTGCTTTTAATGGCTTGGCATCTTAAACTTAAACACGTATTCACACAAAGCTAAACACATATTTATTTATATTTACATTCACCACATTACTATTATCACTGTAACAATCACATCAACAACTGCAGAACAAGCCAAACATATATAACATACAGCAGGAAAGGCACGATGACCCGCTTTTCAACAATTTCTGCAATGTGACTGAATTGCACTTTCTATATGCAGATGATATCATTGAATGCTCTGCAATAAACACTTTCATTTCCATGCCCGATGACCTTCTCCATCATATAAACTGCATTTTTTTTAAAAATCCCCATTGGTTTCCCTTAATGTGAACAAATCTGAATTCTCTTTCACTCTGGAACATCAAAAGATTGATTGCACTGATCTCTTTTGCCCAGATCGCTTTTAGACAGTGGTCATACGGACCTGCTACCCAGCGTCACCGAGCTCGGTTGCACTTCTCCACTTGGCCTCCAAAACGGAGCTTTTGAACAAAGTGAATGAAGCTCATAGAGGGTCCAGACGGAATGGCATAGTTTACCTTTAGCTCCCACCTCATTTCTTCCTAATGACCCAGTTCTGCATCCTTTAAACACTCACAGCTTCACAAGTGAAGTCAAAGAGAATTTTAGGTGCAGAGTGTCTGGTCTGAGGATACTGTTACCAGTACAGTTATCAATGCCCAGCAAAGGCCACTGAAGAGAAGAAACAAAAAGGAAGCAACAGGTATCATAGTTTTAGTGCCTCACTACTGTTTTGGATCAAATACTCTTTTAATCTTCAACAGATACAAATCTGGTCATGATTTATCACACATTTTCATATTACGACACAGCTTTGACCGGGGTGGAATTATTATGGTACCCTAACTTTGCTGGATCTCACTCTCTGCTTTCCTTTTCCTTTTTGTCATGAGGAGACAGCTGAACAAATATTATCTCAGAATTTTACTGTCCTTGCTGGCACCTGACCATTCCCAGGGCTTGTTTATACCTCTTCACTCCATGCTGAGCCTGTAAATGTTCAGTTCTGCATTGCCTCAATGAAACAAGACCGAGCACAAGGGCTTGCAGGAGTAGACATAGCTTCCTTCACTTGCCTGCCCTGCCAACACCTTCACACGCAGTGTACGAAACCAGGCAGAGCCACCTACCAACCTACTCAGAATAGAGGGAGACCATTTCAGAAACTGGTGGGCTCTCATGTAAAGAACAGCCCCTCCAAGCCTTTGAAACCCTCACAGGTTTGTTCTGCGCAGTTCACCTCTCTCTTTGCCTCTCACCACACTTATTTTCTTTCTGCAATTTCCCTTCCTTGTCCCCTGTGCGACCCACAGCTTTGTGAAAGGACGCTGAATCCAAAGGAAGCGATGTGAGCGGCAGACAGTCCACAAGCGCAGAAACACACCAGCACTGCACAGGCGTCGATGTAAGGACAGACTGCAAACAGGAGTTAAACGCAGCACTGCATGCATACTATGTACAGTTACTTTACCTGAAGTTATTCCCATTTTACTTGGTTTTGTGTCCGTCCTCTTTCAGAGTTTCGAGAAACACAGCAAGCTGCAAGATGAGCTAGACGACCTAGAATGTCTTTTTCATTTTTTGTCTATGAACTTAGACCTTAATAACTCACAATCCTGGGTTTGAGGCAGCTTAGCACTAACCTTTCCCTCTCAGTTGCCAATCCCCTCAAGACAATTCTGATTCGTACTGAGGGCAAGAAGTTAGGAAAATTGAAGTGCATGGAACTGCTTCAACTAATAAAAAGAACATTGTGAAACATTACCTAATTGTTTAGTAATGTTTTTATGCGTTGTCTAAATTTGGGCTTGGGAAAGGCCTTCAAGCTTTATAGATATACAAACAGGTCCTAAATGCTGGAGGTACAGGTTTTTTAATGACATGGGGGTGTTTAGTTCCCTCCCACACCCCCCTCTAAATAAGGAGAACACGCACATTCAGAAAACGAAGCGTCTATATAAATGAAACAGTATAGCAAACAGTTACTCACAAATCCTAACATAAATATACAAAGTCTTTTATATACTGACATTTCCATATATAGTATTACTTTCTCTTTTTGTTAATCTAAATAAACTGTTACCTTCTGCCACTCATTACAGAAAGATTTTTCACTTATAAATTTTACTTACACTTTCAATAATTAATAAAGAAGAACTTTAAAAAAAAACAAGCGCCTTGCTTTCCTATACTCAAGTGCAGCACTTTAGACATTTTAAAATCCTCTAGAACTTCTCTCCCTGAAAATTCATCATCCATAAAGAGGTACCTTCACGGATATGAAATACGGTACTTTGCCTACCTCCAAGCATCAAGTGAACTAATGCACCCTTCTCTATCCTGTGAAAGTAGACCTATATAGGCCTGAATACACAGTGGTGAATTTTATGTAATAACCCAGAATGAAACTTTCAAGTCAAGCACTCCTTTTTTCCCTTATGCTTACAAGTGTGGTAATCCCAGGCAATTAACCTTGACCTTTCTCTTTAAGGGCTGATTATTTAGGACCTACAGAATGACCAGAATATCCTTTCCTGTCTGTAAGATAAAGATGCGTCAGGGATCAAAAGGGAATTTCATCATCCCCCCTAGATGATTTTTCCATTCAATTTTCTGAGCAACACAGTAATTTATTTCCTTTTATTTCTCTCACTCTCAAAATCTAGCATGAAATCCTGCCTACCAATCTGTCCTCTTAGAAGACTTAGACAAAGCAGCGTTTGGATCCTGTCAGAATTGCCCTTGCACACATTAAAAGGAGAAAGCCACTAAGCAAAGTAAAATTCTTATACATACAGATAGCTTGAGTTTGAAAATGTATCTGAGTTACTGTAAAACTGTTAATTGGGACACCACTGGCTGGTCCTGAGCAAACATTCAGCTCAACTGTACAATGTGCTCCTAACTGATCACTTAAGACAGAAATAGGTCACACACTTATAGGCTGCAAGATCAGTCCAATTTGATTGATTGATTTATTTCAGAGCAAGGGAAAACACATTTTCTTAGTAGAAATGGTGCTGAGCCAGAAAGTCTGTACCAAAAAAAAAAAAATCAATCCGAATCAGAACCTCCAATTATGCAAAAGTATAGTTTCAGAAGTTTAGCTTTTAGAGATCCTGGTCTTAATGTTTTTTTTTTAAACTTATTATTTGTGGTCTGAGGAGAGGTGAGCGCAATTTGACCAAACGTTTGCTGGGGACAGAAGTACTGGCAGGGAAGAGGGATAGAGACTACTACAACCACAAGCGGAAGGAGTAAAAAAGTTTCCAGCTCTAAAGGGATGTGGGTGTGTGCCGCATATCTAGGATTATCCATTCTGCACTCACAGGCATCTTTCCAACTTGAGATGAACCTGTAGGTCCACTCACCAAAGTAATAGCAAAAAGGGAGATGAACATCCAACACGGTGTTCAGGGTACTTCAACGGAAGTTGAAAAGACATAGACCCTAAATCCTTGCACTAACCACTTGGCTTCTGTGATGTGCTGGTCAGTTTAAGAGCCCATACATTAAAAGTTAATGAGAAAACCATATATAGTTTCTGTATTTACTCCTTGAAATGCAGTAATAATTAAAAAAGGCAGCTAAGAGAGAAAACATTCAGAAATCAATATGGTCTAGCACTATATCACATTAAAATGGAATTTATACTGTTGCAGTATGAGTATGAAACCGCTCAAAAAACAAAGGTGCCTTAACTTACAATCACTTCCAGCTTTCCCTGGACATCATGCGACTTGATAACCCAATTGACAGACTTTTTACACTTGAGGATAAGTACGACGTCTCTGACAAGTTTGGCACCTGGTTGAGATGGTTTAATGTCAACGATTATATCCACCTGGAAAGCACTGTATGTGGAAAATAAGAGAGAAAGTTAGATGTGAATGCCAGAAATTTTCAGCTATCACCCTTCTTCCAATCCATCATGTTTCCACTGTCTGGCCAGCTGATTAAAATGCTGGAGATTATCCCAGGCAACACAACATGTGCAAAACAGATTGTTATTCCACATACACTTAAATGATTTTGCACAACAATAGAAACAAATACTTTTTAGACAAATAATATTTTTGTCTCTTGTTCACAAGAAGTGTGCTACTCATTTCAGCTATTATTTAGGGTAGGTTAGTTATATAACTAGCAGTGTGCTTTATAAAGTAAATAGTGTTTTCTTATTTCACTGCATCAGTGCCTAAATATAGCTGTTTCAGTTTCCTCTGGCTATAACTGTATTAAAGCTCAAAATACCACCTTAAAAAAAAGCAAAAAGTCAAATTAAGCAGGTTTATTCCAAAAAAATCCACAAATACTATATTGGGGAGTGTCTCTGCCTAGGCAGTTAAATTGTGGAAATTACTTTGCTTAGGATCTTGCGTGCATTGAGGAATTAAGCTGTGTATTCAGTTTCCAATACTTCTGGATAGATACTTACTTTAAAAAAAAAGAGAGAAGAAAACAGATGTCCAGCCTACTGCTTGCTGGAAAATAGATGAACACTATCCAAACTTTCAAGACTTCAGTAAAATAAGTAAAGCAAATGGGTTTGTACCCATCAATAACATCTTGTCATGCAAAATATTAATTCAACAGAAAAACTTTTACTTCCATATCATCTCATGGGGCCAAATGTCACAAGAACATGCTCATCCCCAAGTAACAGGTTTCAACTAATACTCTGCACTGAAACTTAATGTATCTTGGGAACGTTGTTTCACCTCCTGCAGTTTTACACATGCCCGGCTCAGCTTCTGTATGTTTCTTTGTGGATATAAACTTTGTAAAGATAGTTGTGGATAATACATAAAACTAAGAACGAAGCATGAGGAATTTAACTTACTACTTTTTTACTTTTAGTAACAAAACATTTAAACATTTTGCCCTTTTTGCAGTGTTATCTGAAAAACAAATTCCTATTGTACTATCAGTCAAAGCCAAAAGCCCAGAGGGCTTGGAGACCAAGCCGTCATTGCGTAACACTGCAAGGGACTTACAATGATGTTGATGCTAAAGAACAGCTCTGTCCAGGATGGGGCTGCAACTCAAGCCACACAGAGGCGGATCATTTGGGCTTGCCTACTCCACTTCCACTACATCTCAGCACTTTCTTACTCTCCCAAGGTTGCTAGGCAAGAATATTCTCAGGCTCCAGGTTCACCATCTTGCAATGAGATAATTACCCTCTTGCAAAGACCCCTCCTCCCACCTCTATCTCCCTGTGTGATTTTCTCATTAGGGCCGGGATGTGCTCAAATGTAACTGCATGAGGAACACAATTGGACAATGTTGGATATCCAGTGCCTGCAGTACGCAGACAGGATTTTAATTCTACCTTATCTCTGATTAAATTGTACTATTCTTCCTGCAAAAGGGAAAACTGTCTAAGTTTCATAGTAAATTTCTGTTCTGGCATCCCTACTCAGCACTTATGAAGAGCTTTTCCACGTAGGACTATCTGAAGCAAACCCCATTCATGTGGTCCCACTAAGATCTAGGAGAAACCAGCAAAGGATGAATGTTTTAAATGTTTTACCTCCCAAAGGTACCTTTGACAATTTAGATAATCCTCATAGCATGTACAGAGAGTTAAGTACTTTTCCCTAACCACTAGTTACAAACTTTTTTGGTCAATGGACCACTGTCAACCCTTAACATTTCTTGCAATTATCAAACTAGCCCTTAAACTCAACAGGAAGCTTGACAGAAAATACTGTAATGATTCTGCAGACCAACTGTGGATCAATTACCATGAACCACAGATCACCTGAAATCTCTGGACCACTGTTTGGTAGCCACTGCCCTAGGCCTTGCTGCCAGATGTCGCTACCTGTGACAGCTCAAAATTACTTTTAACCTCTCTCTCACCTCCTCATACAGTGGTCCCATCTTAAACCCTGTCTGTCAGATGCTGCCCTTATTCATATTCCCTTATTCACCTTATTGTTGGAAAAAATTTTACTGATTGAGCAAGAAGGGGGGCAGGATACAGTCCATAAAAACTGTGCTTTGCAGTCTTGTCCAGAAAAATCCTGGGATTGGGAAGCAGAATCCAAAATTTTTATATACTGAAGGACTAATTTCTATTTAAGGCAAAGTACTAAGGTCCAAGCTCTTCTTCTAAGGACAAAATGGCTACTTTCAGTTGATTTTCAAGAGACAGATGACATCTTTAGCTATGATTTCAAACAGACTTAGTCTATTTAGATGATACTTTACCTGTATGGATTGGAATTTGGAGTGATTAGTTCAATGATATGAACTTCTCTTTCTTGGACTAAGTTAGACATAAGGCACCCCTCTGCTGTTTTTGGTTGCAGGTATCCCGCAAGGTAATTTAAAGAGAGAAAATTCTTTTCTATGTTGCATGAAGGAGGAAAAACTTGGTCTGGAGAGGGAAAAAAAAAAAGAAAGTATATGCACCTTTACACATAGATATCAGCTTACATGCATGTATGTACCACATCTACTTCAGTGTGGCACTGTGTTTTATGACACAGGTCTTTAGGCTAAAAGGTATATCTATTACCTATCATAAGCACTTACAACAAATCAACGTAATATTGAAAGGGAGATCACTGTTGCAACAACACAGCACACCTCTGATGTAAAATATACACTTCTAAACTGAACAGTTTCTATTTACAGATTTAAATATTTAATGAAAAAAAATACCTACAGAGAAATCTGAAAACAATACTGAAGCAAAATATGTGAGCATTTTTCAAAATGAATAAAATACACTTAATTTGTTCCTTGCACCTTTAAAAAAGTCTTTCTTTTGAAATCAACTCCTAGAAAACTTCTGCGATCAATTCCTTCTCCCTTTAGAAAATGTTTTATTCTTGTTATTATAAATTTACCATATTTTAAAAAATCACAGAAGGTATTTTCCATTTCCTTACTCAATATATTTTCCTATATATTGTGTAGTCAGAGTCAGTGTTGTCTAGAAATACTGCAGTTCTCTTGTGCATGGAAAATCGAACATAGCAAGAAGAGGATGAAATCAGTTATTGATATTAAGGAAATCTGACCATAATATCCATAACTGAAATGAAGACATTCTAGAGTAGATACTCAATCTCTCTTTCGGTTTTAACTGTCTACCTGATCATGAGCATTCACTACTGTACAATGCAAAACATAAAAAAATAGTCACTTGGTATGAAGTTCTCATGCACAGCCTACATTGCTGTACCCCAAGAAGCAGTATTTCCATTGAAAAATAGGAATAGTTTGTATTTCTGCGATAGTTTTACGTATGAATTGTCACAATACAAAGAAGGACTAAGTATCACGTTCAAAGACACAAAGTCCTGTAAGAACAGAATTCTAAATGGCTGGCTCTTTGACCTTTGCTTTACAAAGAAGGCTTTCCTATGAAGGTCAGTAGCAAGACAGAAAAAAAAGAAAAAAATATAATGCATTATGCATGCAAAACTATGGACGAACTCAGCTGGGCTGAGCCCACTGTTCACCTTTGCTCCCTAGAGGAGCGCTGAAATGTCACCCCGAAGCACATCTGTGTGTGGTACACAACTTTGCAGGGAGACCAGAGACTCCTGTGACCCCTGCACTGCAGAAACAATTAGGGGAGTTTCTCCTCCCGATCTTACACGAAGTAGTCTTTGAATATTAACTTTGCTGTCTTCCCTACAGGATCTACGAGAGCCGTACGAGGCTGTAACTATTCACACTGCCCAAGGAAAGCACTCCTCTAACATCTGGTACGTGCCCTGCCAGATTGGCCTTGAATGCAGCAGCAGTTCTGCCAGCTCCTCCCGCAACAGCACAGAATGGAAAACGATCCCAAATGGTCTACACTGAGCTTGATTTTATATATACACACACAGATACTAGGTATTTGCTTCTCAGCTGCCGTACAATACAATTCAAGCCATAAACCAACAGCCCCTGAGCAGTCTGTGGATAATTACCACACGTGCTATCGTTTGCCATCGCAACGAACTTGGTTCCTGCTCCTGGCACTTCCATTAAACACCTCTGGAGCTCTCAAGAACCACTGCTCTCGCCACCACCAGCACCGGGGCTCCCCAGCCCGGGCCTCTGCTCGATAGCACGCTTTTCCTCTGCAGCAAATTTTAACTCTGTCACTGGCTACTTGACGTACACGTTTACTTCCCCCCCTTCCGCAAAGTGTATATACTCCCGTCCGTACCAGTTACCAAGACCTGGGCTGGAACAGAAAAGAAAAGGGGATCCATTTCATCTTTTCTCGCTACACTTCTTTTTTAGTTTCAGGGCTGTCTACTTACTTTGGAAAGGGACTGCAGGTGCCTGCAATTAATTTAGAACCTTACTAAACCAGCCAGCAAACAGTCTTGCCT